AAATTCTTCTACAGGCTTAATATTAAATGATTGCATTCATGAAATAATAGGATAAATATGCACTAGCTTCAAAGTTGTATCTAATATTACATAAGCTGTATAAAATGTCACATACAATTATTGCTAAAAAGACAAACCAGGAGTAATTAATATAGTTGAGAGTTCATATCACTAGAAGTATGCAAGCAGAAAGCAAAATTAATTATTTTCATCTCCCTCATATGGTTACTTATCAAACCAGGCCTCATGGGGACACGTGATGTGTTTCAACCAGACAATAAAGAGCAGCATATAATTACACAATTCCTTGGAGTAACTGGTTTGTATCCTTGAAAATTCTCCAGAAAGTATTCTAACTATATGAATCACCCCAACTATTACATTGCTGTCAGTTCAGACAAATGATGCATGCAAATACATGTTTATATAAACAAACAACGTGTTTATAATGCAACACTTTAATATAATTACATCATCAGGTAATTAGAATGTGCAGTTATGTAAGCCTCACCCTTCTCCTTCTGGTATTGAATGAACTGCTGAGTATTAGGGGAAGATTAATCTTTATTAGTGACATTTGAGCTAATGGTTTCTGAACACGAGAAGCAAAACACCTAAAAATGTGAGATTTTCCTGGACAAGCAACTTATACAAAACACTTTCTGCACAGCAAGATATTATTTTAGCAAGAAAATAATTTTAGTTGTTTGAAAAAATAAATTAAAGCTTGAGAGCGTAAAGCAGAAAACTGCTAGATTACTAAAGGTGAGATGAAAATTTTTGGTGACAAGGTGACAGTTACTACTGAACTTGGAAATCTAGGTTTTTCATTTGTGTAGAGATTCTTTATCAAAACACTGCTTTATGCCTGTTGCCCAAAATAGCAGATTCAAACAAAATTATAGCATTTCAGGACTCCTAATGACTATTTTCACATTATCCAAGTCTATGCAACTGATACTGTAGACAGCATCAAGACAGATACTGTAGATCTAAGTCCATATGTCATATTTAACTATAACTTTTATGAACTTTATAAACCTAAGTAGTCAAACTTTCTTTAATTAGAAACTCGCATTTTGTTTTACCTCCTAGGATCTGGATTCAGCTTGGTTGATGACAGATAAAAAACTGGACTTCATGTAGAAAAAAAAAGTCCATTGGAAAACTGTAATCCTCGCTGAAAACATTTAGGATCTTTTCTATGCTGGGGCAGGGCTTGCGGTTAACCTACATATAATGGATGTTAAAAAACATATTAAGGACATAGACTGTATTTGAATGTGTCTGGTTTTACACATGTACAATTTACATAGAAAGTTTCTCGGGATACAAGTCATTGCCTGATGTGTTTTATAGGGTAAATGCATTTCTGGCCCACAGTACGGAGTAAAAAAAAGACATCAGTATTTATGGTTTATGGGGCTGATGATATGGATTAGTGAGAAATAACCCCTTTCCACAAAGTACATAAATGCATATTTCTGATATTTCAGAGACTTATTAGAGCTCCTTTTTCTTTAAAGCTTTTATATGCATAAGCTGTGTGCAAAAGGCCACACTTCTGTCATGTTCTTACTTTTCATCCTTATGCATCAAAAGGAATTGTGAGAGAGAACTCTGATAGGTATGAAGACTGGAAGGATCAATGCAGCAATAACTGAGGAACAGATAAAAGGTCATACTCTTTTTTTGACAATTCAGCTGCCATCAATAAAATTGTTTTACTGACAAAATTATGCTTTAAGAAGTGAAAATCCTTAATATTTACTCCATTATCCAGTTTTGTAGCAATGTAGATGGACAATATTTGCAGCACTACCAGGAAACTGTACCTGTTTGGACAGAAAGCTTTTACAATGAAGACTATTGATATGGAGCAATGCATTATGACTATTGCAAATATTGCCCATCTTCATGAATTGATTAATTTTACAGCTGAGTGCTGTCAGACTATTACATAAATTTACTCTTTTTCTTTCTTTTGAATAAGTTCCTTATTTAATTCAAATTATTTATTTTTTAATGAAAAGTTTTACATAAGAACAACTGCAGCATAATATTTGACTTTCTGAACTGTAGAATAGTTCCCAAATATGAATGTGGCTTTTTGCTTATAAGTGTCCCCAGTGCCAGAGAAGGATCAAGGACATATTTAACTGGCTAGTATATTTGTGGCCACAGCATACACTAATTTAATCCCATACTTTGTTTCCAACTGACTTTTATTGCCATCGTCCATTCACTTCATACAAAATTCCCACACACATAATCAGAAAAAAAAAACCAAAAAAACCAGGTACTAGTGGAGAAACAGAAGTTTATAGACGCTTGTGCTTTCTTCTGCACGTATGTCCCTCCAGTAATGGCAAAACGCTACAGAGGTACCTTTTATAATTTAAGAATAACCCAAAGTCTCCCGAAAAACCTGCAGTCACTACAACAGCTTCACACATATTAACACATTGTATTACTGAGTAAACAAATACATTGCTTGGTTCAATTTACAGCTTACTTTTCTGCACCTAAAACATTTGCTTTTACTGAAGTCCCTTTTCTAATAAGAGAACTGACTAAAAATGATGCTCTAGTTATTAAGAACACACACTGGTAAAAAGATACATACTTTTAAATGAATAGAAGTTAATGACTATGTCTCAAATCAGTGATTATTTAATGAAATGGAAGAAAGTACAACTCTTGAATGGTCACTTTACTGTAGTTCTTAAAAAGTTACAGAAAAAAAGGGTCTTTTCCAATTGTGATTTCCAAAAAAAAAAAACCAAACCCACAAGCCCCATTCTGTTTATTTAAACGTCTACTTGAGGGGAACCAAAAAAGAAAAAAAGATGGTTCTACCAGCTTTTAGAAAAATTTTCATCAGACTCCCTTTAGGAGATGGCATTTGAAAATCCACTTGTGCTTGTTAATCATGAGATTTCTTCTGGATGCTTAAAAATGGTATAAAGAGGCTGATACAGTGATAGGCCCAGGAAGAAAACTAAGTCGATCTACACAGAGGCAGATCAGCAAGCAGATGCAAATGAAAAAAAACTGCAACAAACCACATTGTCAAAATATTTCCTCCTGCAATCATCAACTCTAACTGAAGTCTAAAATTATTGTGCTGTTGGTGGACACATATATATGAATCTTTTGGAAGAAAAAGACAATAGAACAACCACTTTTTTGCCTCTGCATACTAATGTTTCTTCTTAAGATGTAAGAATAATTTCTCTTGTACAGCCAAGATATCGAACATAACACTGTTTGGTTTTTGGAAGTGAAACAAATAGACTTTACAACAATTTTTACCCTTCCTGCCTTAGAAGATCTGATATTTAAATACCAAAACCCTGGTATAGGAGAAATGAAAATTTAATCTAACTTCTAAATTTAAATGCATAAAAATCTTTAGAAGAGATCTTACAGTTCAAGGCAATTGGTCATATGGTGGTTATTTTTATGTACTTCGTTACTTATTTATGGACGGAAGGATTTGTATGCATTTATTTTTCCTTTTGTCTATAGTTCTGTATGGTTCTTATGTGGAAACTAAAAAAACAAACAAAATACTAGTTGAAAAGATAATCAGGTGTACAAAGCTCCATTACAGCTAAGAATGAAGCATTTGACGTAAATTTTTAGGTATCTCCATTTTGTCAAATAACCCATTTTTCAATGATCAGATAAAACCCCCCAAACTTCTGCAAATACTTGATAACTACATTGTTTTAACACCATTACAACCAAAACCTAATCTACAGAATATAAACCGATGGTCTATACTGAAAACTAACTGCTCAGCAGAGCATCTGCTCCCCAGGATCATGCCAAATGAATTCAGAAACACATAAGGACTTAAGGTATATTACTATGAAATCAAATTAGCATAAAGACAGATCACTATTAAAAATGTGGTTCAGACTTCACTTTTGTCCAGTGCAACAACTGTAGATTGTAGATGCAACGGAATTTATCAGCAGCTCAGTCAAATAATTAAAACCATGTATTAATACAGTAGTACCAAAAGAAGGTAGCAGTATTGCCATCCAATGTACTTAATCAACATAATCACTTATAACTAAAATTCTTCACGGTATGTTTTTCATAAATAAATCAAGGCATAGAGCCTTCACCACCTGGAATTTCCAGTTTTGAACTTTCTGTCAACATGAAAGTCATGCACTATCAAAGAATATTGGAAAAAAGGGCCCTGCCTTCCAAACAGCCAACCAGCCTCATATTTAAGAAATCTAAGACCTCACACAGACATATGTGCATTCCTCTCAGTAACTGCGGTCAGGAAAGCACAATGAAAGTACAGCAACGTATTTCAACAGTACCGTCTCAACTTATTACTTTTCTTTCTCGTCAAGATTCTCCAGAACACCAAATAAAAGTCTCCTCCTTTTTTAAGATTTTTTGTTTCCAGAGGAAAACAACTGTCTGAAAACTGTCCAGCCATTAACTACGAAAATTTTAATCATTATCTCTTTTTATTATTGCAACAGAGCGTGTTGACAATAATCAGCCAAATACCAAATTAACATTTTTCATTTATTTGAAAGTTATCGAGGAAAACTAATTCAGTTAAGCTACAGAGAATAAACTTGATGCAATTTATATAATTGCTATAAATATCAGAAATGCTTAATAAACTCTCACGTCTGTCAAGACTGTAGATTGGCAGAGTAATTCATTTTTATGTGATAAAAAAAAATCTAAATCCCCATTCCAGCAACATTTCCTTTCTGTATGTTTTAAAGTTGTACTCAAGACACATTTTCAAACATTTTTTATGCTGAAAGATGTCGGACAGAATCATGATGTGACTGACATTAGATCCCTGCAACAATTTCTAAAGCAACACTTAAACAGTATTAGAACCAGTTCTCTTTTTCAAGACAATTTCAGTTTTGTTGAGTAGCTGTGCGCTAGAAAAAAACCCCACCACGTTGGAAACCTGACATGTCTCTAAACTGAAGCACTTGATTTACCTGCCACTGTTTCATGAGCTCTCGAACTGCTTTGGCATCCTCTAGTATCTTTTCCTTGTGTGTAGCATCCTGCAGGACATTTGCAGTTGTTTCAGCTTCTGTAAGCCAAGCGAGGAACTTTTCGAGATCCAGGTAGAATTGCTGCAACATTCTTAGGGCTGATTCCAGTGCAGCTTCACGGTCACAAACCCTGCACAAGTACAAACAGTCAAATGCAGAACTCTTAGGAAGAAAACAAATCTTAATCATTAAATCAAAACATAACAAATACACACTATATATTTTTCATGCATCAATCAAGGTAACTTTGCAAATACATTAGCTACAGAACTTGCACTGTATGTTTGGCAGGTAGGGTTCCTTTTTTATCTTCTCTCCTGAGAAATAGCAACTAGAATTCATCTTGTAGAAAATGAAGCAAAATTATTTCTTCGAAAGTACTATGCTTGAAATGTGCACAATTAAAAAACATAAATAATCAGAAGTAATTCCCTCATTTGTTTTACCAAAGATTGTTTTCTTATTTGTCATTAACGCTACAGTGGGAAAAATGTTTATTTTCAGAAATCATGAAATAGCTCCTGGCCACTGCACGGTATGATGAATTTAATTGTTTTTATGACTTGAAACCTTTGGAGATTGCATTCAACACCTTAAACCTCAATAACACTGAAGTTTGGGGTTTTTTTGTGTTTTATTCTGTTTTTTTTTTAAAATATGAATGTGATAAATTACAAGAAAGATCTCTATCAGTTACATGATAAAATACAATTTTTAAATACAAAGGCTATCTTATCCTTGAGGAAGATCTAAATGATAGATTGGGAAGGGTCCAGCAATTCTAGTGCAGAAAAAAACATTAAACTATATCGGTGTTCTATCAGCATTCATGTGCTATGTAGGTGTCACGTGAACTCACCGATTTTTTTACATTGAATTTTACCAAAATAGGGATTTAGAAATGTGAACAGATAAGTATGACATACTGTTCATTAACACAAGTCTGTCAAGGCTACTTAGGTGTTTTATCACATGCATATTTGTTTAACACCAGCACAATAACTGAGTAATTTTTTAAACTCAGAAAATATATAGCAATGTCATTTGATAATTTATGTTACTTCAAGTGAAATGAATGCAATGTGATGACCATCTATGTTTAGTCTACAAAACTGTGGTGATCTGGATATTTCTAGATAGATTTCCTGTCTGGTTTTACAGTTATTTAGACAGAGATTAAGATACTACATTTTAGCAGATATAATGTCTCCAGTTGTCATTTATCATAACTTTACCAGAGGAGGCCAAGACATTTCTAAGTGCCAATCTCTATTTCAAATCCTGTTTCCTGTCATGAAGAGGTTGTACTCCTTGGTAAGTAATATCATCTTAAAACCTAGTACACTAGTGGAAGTAAGAAAATAAACAAAAAATTAACACAAGTTTTGCAAAGTGGCACTGACTTTGCATGCTTTTCAACAAGCATCCAAGTAAATTGCAGCAGAGGACAGTAAGAACAGAAAAATTCAGTCAGAGTACAGGAGAGAACAATCATTTCAGAGAAAAAAAAATCCTCCCCAAGAGTCAAATCTCACGATAGCTACCGTATTCTATCATATTTTTAATCCTTTAACATTTTATTTGCTTTTCCCAGCTATTTTGTGAAAAAAAGGAAGTATTATTGGATTTTTTTTTTATTCAAAAAACGAGAGACCTATCGAATGCCTCCCTACAAAGTCATCCGCCAATTGTTTTAAAAAGTTAAAAATTGACTTCATCTTCATCTCAGATGCACCTGTTGCCATCTACAAGAATTCTCCACATCATGGTACTGCTTAGCTTGTATTAGAATGTGTCCCCAGGGGCCTTTTAGGAGGAGAGTAAGACATGCTTAGCTTCAGAATAGTGAACATGATCTCCCCAACTTTATTCTACGTGAACATAAACATGGCTTCTGGTTAGGCCACTCTTCATATTTAAAACAGATGCAATGAAAGAATTTGTTGTTCCTTTGTTAAACTAAAAAATAATTACATAGTTATCACACCTAAATAGACTAGCAGTATACATTAAATCAGAATAAACTTAGAAAAAAGACAATAAGAAACAAAATCTTTTACCTGGAAAATATTGTATTGACCGATTGATCCCTTTTAGCTCAAAAATAGCCTCACATTTATTCACTAGAGCTTGGAAATGGAATAAGCTTACATAAACTAAAAATATTTTATCCAGTTCTTCCGAGCACAATTCTATTGTAAGATATACTTTATAGCATTATTCTAATTCAATTTTCAGAGTGCAACGTGACAGCTAGTATCAGTGCCTTTGCAAAATCAAGTATAACACTTTCTTGAAATGCAATTCTTCAAAACATTAAAGGCACTCTTAACTACAATCCACCTGAATTCCTATAAACGCATAGTAATGCTCTAATAACAGCATTCTGACAATACACAGTGAGATTATTTTTAAAAAAAAAAAAAAGCAAAAAAAAAGCTTCAGTCTATTTGTATATATTTAACTTTTTGCATGGTATCCTGAGAAGTAGGACCCAAAGCTATATTCATCCACTTGTGTAAATACCTAGTGCATTTTAAATCTATAAAAAATAAGGACACAAGCACAGATATGTTCAAAGGGAGAGCAATTAGAAGTATTATTCAAAATCAGAATTTATATTTCAGAGAAAATTCCAGACTGCATGAAAAAGTATAGTATTTTATTGATCTGGGTAAAGAATGAAGTTTTAGTTACAAAGAATCTTTTGGCCCTTCTAGTCTATGATGCACAGAAATCTTACGGCGTGTAATTCTTTCAGCCTACAGAAACACATTGCTTATCTATAAGCATACTAATACACCCACCGGAAAATACCTAGTACTTTGCATTTTAAATTTTGATACATCTAAACATGCAATAAACATTCAACTACAGTGACAGTTCTGCAACATATCAATAAGCTTCACTCTACTTGGCTTTTTAATTACTTCAAAATTATGAGGTTAGAATAGAAAAAAGAAGGTCTAAAAATGAAGAATAAAACTAAGTACTAAATTGAGCATGTGATAAGATAAATCGAAGAAAATTATAAGGGAGACAAAAATATGTATACTGAACAAGAAATTATTGCACAAAACCAAAATAAAGATGCTTTCTTTATATTCTGTATCACCTGCATCATTTTGTTTTAGTGCAAACAGAAAACTGCACAGTAGGAACACCACAAAATACTGCTGAAATACTGAAAGATAATTATAACAAAAAAAGTATTTTTAATGGAATGATCCTGGTTTTGTCTGTTCTACTATGAAATAAAAATAAGCATGCAGTGGTATAACCAAAAGCTTCTTACTCATGGGACAAATACTAAAGGTGGGATTCATCTTATTTTCATCTAGACACCCAGAATTTAGACAACTACACTCCCTCTGCAAAACATGGAGACAAGCATTTCTGTAATTTAATACCTCCTCCCTTGTCTGTACACATCTGTTGAAATAGATTCAAGGTTAGAGTCAATCTTTTTCTCTTGTCTACAATGGTAAGTTATCTAAAGTTTACACAATTTTAATTTTACACAATTAAAGGTAGGTAGGTAGGTAAAATGATCCCAAATCTAGTCTGGGGACTGATTTTTAGGAACTAGTGGCATTAGTTACAGTGGACTGACCAATGCTAGCTGTCATATGAACTTTGCTGCAGGACAGAAATTACAGTACTCTCTTAAGAATGTGTTAGCTGAAGGCTTCAAGTTGAGGGAAAATGGAGGCACATCAGAGGAAGCGCACACAATTTTTACATTTACATTTATACATACAATGTATATAAATGTGAACATTTAAATTCACAGGAAGAAGTTTTTAAGAGTTAAAAAAAAAATCCCCCAAAGAAGGAAAAAAAAATCCACCAGCTTCTGCTACAGGAATTTTCTGTGATGTTAAGAAATTTTAAAGCCAATATTTTTAAAATGTAGCCATTTACAAATATTTAGGAAGACAAGCAGGGGAAAATAAAGCTATCTGAAATCTGTGTGATCTTTAAGTTCATAAGCAAGGTACTGTATTATTAACTAAAAGTCAGCATCTGTATTGTGATATACACACAGAATAAACATATACAACAAAATACAAAATATATACAACTGAACAACTTATAACAATGTAAAGAAGAGAAAGTGCTGACGTATGGGAATCATGGTGTCATTAAACATACTGCAAGAGTTTTTCATTCATCTATCCTCAATCCCATACAAGACAAGGAATACAGTGTTTGTAGAGGCTCCATGAGTGTGAATACCAGATTTTTCTTCAGCTGTAGTATTTGCTACGTAATTTGGAAGGAAACATTCACATTTACTGAGTATCTGTCTCTTTGAAATTGTAACGCTTATTCACATTACAAGATACATTGCAAGGGTCGGTGTTCAAAAATGCTTTGAGATATTCAGATAACAGGAAACATAGTAAGTGCAGAGCGTTATTCCAAGGTGCACTACACTGTATTAACACAGAATACATAATACATAAGGAAATACACCAATCTGTATCACTGAAATCTGCCTGATCTTTATCACTGCTAAAATCTCCCTGAAGACAGCTGATGTGGACGGCTGAAAGAAGGAAAGATTTTATTTCAGAGGTGGAAAGGTCTTTGAATAAACAAGAAAAAACGCCTTTTTGGAGTCCAATGGGAACACATGTGCTGAATCAGGCACACCAACAAGATTCCTGTCAGTGACATATTTCTTTCTGCCTTTCTATGCACTGTACTTCTCTCTGCCTTACATTTATTCTCAACAATGTGATCTACTGGCAGAAAGCTGACTCTTCTTGCCTTCAGATAACTCGAAGGGCATCTCTGCCTTGGCTGCATTATCCATATTGATTGCGTATGAATAAACACTGAAATTATTTTAAATTCCAGGTGTAATTGTGCATACAGAGAGACTATGTGCAATAGCTGCTGCAAAATAAACACAGAAAGGCAGTTCTCTGTTGATTATCTTTATTTCTGCAGGGAAGAAGAAAAAAAACCCTCAATGCCCTCATCCTCAGATTTGAACTCAGCCTATCTGTCTTGATATGGACACAGTATTGTTTTTTTCATGATAATCACACACAGTTTCCTAAGTGATGACAGTCTCTCCAGACACTAAAACCAGAATATCCTAAAGTATCTCCTGATTAT